TGTATCTAACTGCTATAAATAATAATATAAACGGAATAAAATATTATGGAAAGCAGAAGACAGACACCCACCAGTTCCTTGCTAAATATTGATTGTGCAGAGTTACACTAGAAGGCTGTTTTACACGCGTTTGGTAAAAGAAAGAAGAAGTTTCCTCTGTGCTCGCCATGAAGGGGAAAATGCATGTATATTTCCTCTTACCTATCACGCTATTTATCAATCTATATTATTTTGGTTCAAGTTTTCTGGTGTTGGAGACATTGCTGTTGATATCATGCACATTACTTACTTCTTACTTTTAAGTTAAATGATTAATCAATTTGTTTTTGAGGGAACAATAAAATATTGATGCAAAAAAAATTAGCACGTTGTATTAAGCACCCAGACAAATCTACAAGCACATATTATTTTGTTATAAAAATTGATTTAATTTCGTTTAAAATAAGTGGTAAATTAGTATATAGATTAGATATGATTATTTTGCAGAACATACTGTATAACATTCCTCCTTCCGAGCCAGCTCCTTAGCCTAATGCTAACTTAAATAGGGTCAAAATACTTGATCAACGTCTGGTGGTGAAACAAGTCATTTTACGGAGTTGTGATGCTTATACAAAACCACATATATACGCAGCTGCGTAGCAACAGAGAGACCACAGCGCAGCCAATGACGGGAAGCCGCGTTTAACTGGAACATGACTTCTGCAAGCTGCCATTCGCCGCTGAGTGACAAGCCCACAAAGAGGCCCGTCAACGGCAGACAGGATCAGTAAGTGGAGCTGCAGAACCGCTGATTAGCTGAATCTTCCTGTGCATCACATGTATATTATGCATGTATTATATGTATATTGCCAAGAGGATTGTACGCAGCTGATGTGGCTGATTCTTTTCACAATTCAAACAATGGGATTCAAAAATTCTGCCAATTATGAAAAAAATCAAGGAAGATACTCAAATTTAGTGCAATTGCATAAAACGGCAGAATGGAGCCTTGTGAAACAAGTTGTGTCGTGTGCTGTAGACGTCTTGGGGACGCCTGTGTCGTTTCCCGCACGCGGTGAGAGAGTCATGACACGCATCAGTCCCCCAAGTTTTGTCAACCGGGCCACTGAAAATCCAACTGTGCTTCTCAGATTTAATTCTGGGGGAGAAAATAAACGTTGACTTGTGAAGCTGAGAGCTAGCGCTTCTCATTCTCATGTGTGAAGCCTTGTTATTGTGTTGGCCATCCACAGTGGGAACTGAGTGGGGCTGCAGGGAATAAAGGGAAGCAGCAGAGGTGAGTTTCATAGAAACCAGGGCGGTCTGACGGTGTAAATGCATTCTTCTCAATCCTGCTTTCAAGGCATCGCGTTGATTCTTCTCCAGGTTTTCTCGCAGACAATTTTGACTATTTTTCATTTTTTTGGGCTCGCATTCTGTTAATGCTCCTACTGCTCTATTCAAAGTCTGTGTGCTGGATATTGGAAAGTGGTTTATACCTCTTCTTCCTAATGGAAAGCATGAATTTTAATGACCATGTATTGATGGTAGAGATATCCAACTCAAGAGTCCTCTGTTTCCTGAGTGTTTGTTCTTTACCCCAGGTCCACTCCCCCCCCCCTCCCAGCCTAAGCAGTAACAGGTTGTGTTTAGCTTCTCTGCTCCCTACTTCCTCGTCTGGCATGTCTCTTCTTTCTGTCCAAAGTCCGCAGCTCAGCCAGAGACAACGGGACGTCACTCACTCGCAGTGTTTCACAACACACTCACTCGCTTGTATTGGTTTCCACCTTTTCTCACACCAATACAGGCTTCCTTTGAACAGTAAGGACCCCCCCCTCCGTTGGGCACTTGGGACATTGTTGGATATAATTTCATGAGACTGGTTTCAGATGATGCAAGGGAGAAGTGTATAATGATAATGCTCTTGATGGTGTCTCGCAGCTTATCGTCGCCGCTCCAAAAAACGAGGCCCCCAGACACCCACGGCCGTCTTTGAACCGCTCCCACCCCTGGGTGACGCATTAGTAAACCTATGTGCCGAGTGGGTGTAGCCTCAGGGGACGCTGCTTGTATCTTCACTAAGCCCCGCTAGGTGCGCCAAGACGAAGCTCGGACTTGAGCACCATGGCCCCCCCCCCCTTTTACTGATCCCTCCCCCAATGTGCCTTAGACCATCTCCCATCGCCCTCGACAGTTCCTCTCCCTAGCTTTCCTCCCCTCTTTTTCCGCTCCTCCCTCCTCCCTGCTGTTTGCGCTCCGATCTGCCTGCCTTCCTTTAACACATGCCAGGACTCCCGAGGCCCCAGTTAGGGAAGGCTTCATTTTAACAGAGCTCCTCAGGACGTCGTTACGAGGATCATCACCGGGCCCCGCGGCTGATGTTGCATTAGTGTTCCATCACACGCGGGGCCTTCAAAGCGCCTATTAACTAGCCGGTCCTGTCATTGCGCATATCGGAATTTCTCCCAGACATTGGTGACGCCGTATTAATTTGCGAATTGTATACGTCAGATTACGCAGAGAGGAGACTGACAGGGGAGGTGTTTTACAGCATGTTGCTTAGGCAGCTTCTGATGCATGTTACCTTCTGCAAGTCAAGGCGATTGAGCTTTAATTCTAGATACAAACATGCATCTCTTTTGCCCTGATTGCTGCTGATTTCTGAAGGAAAATATGGTTCCATCTTCCTATGTAAGGATTGAAGCACAGCGACCAAAACAGACACAAAAAAATGCTGTCCTTCTGTTATGTTTTTTCTGCAGTGAGAGTGATTGGACGGGAGGTGGCATGTGCTTATGGAGATTGTAGTGGGTGTCATGGAAACAGACACACACAAACAGAGCTTTTTGGAGGTTTAGTGACAATAAAAGTTGTAAAAGCCTTTTCTCTTAAATGTAGTACAAATGAAATGATAGGATATCTAAACATGGAACAGATGTAATCTGTATCAGCTAAAATAAAGCTTTTCAAACATATAGTCTTTAGATGATGATGTCATTAAAAACTCAAAAGGCACTTGTACAACTTTATTAAAATGTTTAAAACAACATATTTGAAGCAATATTTGTGATGATGTTTTGGTGTCTACAATTACATCCCATTGCAATTGACACCACTGCGAGAACCAATCACACTGTCGATCATCATCTTTCTGACCATCTATTAATGTCACTGCCGTGTTGGAGAGCAGTTGACAATTGTAAACTCGGGGCGCCCCCCCAATATAATGGTAGGTAAACACTGTATACAGTAAACAGTTATAGTACTCCTTGACAATAATCGGTTGGGCTTGATATTTAAAATCTTACTTGATAACCGCTTTCTATCATCTCCAATAACTTTAACTTTAACCGTTCCTCTACCGTTCATGCAGGTGACTCTTAGTGTTACACTGGACGCGGACAGCGGTCTGGATGAAAGACGTAGGTTTGTTTCATGCACCTTCTGACCCACTGTGGACTATCTTTGTTTTTGTAACGGGTCAGTTGCTCCGACCACTGAACACTAAGACCAAGGAGCACCGACCAACGAGTTGGGAATTAAAAAGCTTGTACAAAAGGATGTGTGGGTTTGCAACTTAGATGACTATGATGCAGGATGATGCTTTGAAAGAAGTCTAATCATTTGGACATTTGGAGCCAGACTATTGTTGGTCACCTCGAGCCCTTCCTATCCAGAAAACACACCTCACGTCTTCATCGTACAATCACCAAGCCATTCCGTCTACACTGCCTGTCCAACCTCATTCTTCTTGTCTTCCATCCCCTCCTCTCCACCCAACTATCCTCCATGCAATGCCAACAGAAGAAATGCATTATCTGAAGTGAAACAGGATGAGTATTAAGTGGGTGGAAGTTGGAGCAGGCTCGGTGTACCACTGTGTGCAGTATTTTATTCAACTCTCTTTCCCTCTCTATCGTCTCTGGTTTCTCCAGCTCCACGGATAACGCATCGTGTAGAGTGGTGCGGGCTCCATCAGCCATGCAGATGAGCTTCGCTTCCTTTACCTTAATTAGAGCTCCCGGGGGACCAGCTGTGGGCGCCGAGCACCATCAGCCTCTCAAGCCACTGAGGTATAGCTTTCATCAAGCCAGAGAACACCAGGAGGAAAAGCTAACATGAGTACAGCGGCTCGGGCATCACACAAAAGAGGTTTTAAAAGCAGTCATTAATGGGAAATGCTCCATCGTATTATTCAAGGCTGGTCATTTAAACAGCAGGCAGAAATCCAACCGAGAGGAGAGAAACAATGGTATCCATGCAAGCACATACTATTTATGGAAATATCTTTCAGCAAATGTAACGATTAGACTGATAAATCGATGAGAAAATAAATAATTTGCAACAATTTGGGTTGTCATTTTAATTGTTTGGGTCATTTTATGCAGTTAAATATGCCCCACATCCATCCATGGTTGCCAGTTCCCCATAGTAGATATTGGCTGCGTTTCTTATATTAAAGTGGATTGAATATCCAAATTGTATTTATCGCTTAACTGACTGAAGAATCATAAAACAACATATATATATATATATATATATATATATATATATATCTTCTGAAATTTAATTTTAAGCTGAACTGTTATTCATAGTGAATTAATTACTTGAATAATTGATTAAAAGAATTTAAACTTGCGACCAAACACTTTTTCCGCAGTTCTTGGTTAAAACTGACCGTTTATAACGACCGGGGGGGTCATAAAAAACGCCCGTACTCTCCGTCCCCTTTAAACGGGGAGGTGCTCCGGCCGGTGCCCCCCCCCCCCCCCCCCCCCCCCCGCTCCTACCCGGGGCTCTCCGCCGGGCTCCGGCGGGGTTGGAGAGTGAGGCGCACGGGCTGGCAGAGAGCGGACGCGTCGGAAACCTCCCCGGAGGGGCCCCTGTGTAATTCGATGCACGCTGTTAAAGCTTAGAGTATATTGTCTTCCCCTCCGCGCGCGAAGCCTCCACCCACCGGCCCACCCGACATTTAGCGGATCATGTGACTCCGGGTAAGTCGTTCGCAAGTACAACAGTTCTCTGTGCGCTCCCATTCATTTCCTGAGGACTGCCCGAGCAGCTGAGAGGCAGACGGGGAGGGAGCCGCTCACTCACATGCGCTCGCGCTCACTGACGCACGCACACGCACCGACACGCCGCGCGGGGTGAGAGGAGAGGAGAGGAGAGGAGTGGAGAGGAGAGGAGACGGGGAGGATTGTAAGAAGGGAAAACGGTCTCCACCGGCTCTGCAGCTCCTGACCAGGTCTGTGCATTTCTTTCCCCGTGGCCCGTGCGCGCGCCTCGGACGCGCTTTGTGCGTGTCGTGCGGTGCGTCCGGTTCAGCTGTCATTTCGCTGTCAAAGCGGAGGTGACAGCTCGGATCAGCCGCGGCATTGTGTTTGGTGTCTGTCAGTGTGTGTGTGTGTGTGTGTGTGTGTGTGTGTGTGTGTGTGTGTGTGTGTGTGTGTGTGTGTGTGTGTTTGCGGGGGCTGTGGAGGAAACGAGAGACCCCGCGCGGGGCCGCGGACTGGACCTGAAACACGCGCTTCCTTAAAAACACAAGCTGTCATGACACCAACGTGAAGACACAGCATCCTGAGCTTTTACCGTGCCGGCGCCCCCCAACTCGCCTCACTTCATTTGCCCCTGAAGAAACTTCTGAACATACCAGCCCGAGCATCGTAGTGGCTCGAGCGCCCGGCGGGGGGGCTGAGGGGGGCTGAGGGGGGGTCGAGAGGAGAGCAGTGAGACCGTACCCAACTCTCAACACTTCGCTGGGAAAACAATAGAAAGAAAGAAAAGTTTGCTGCTTGTTGAAGTTGTGTGTACGTGCACTTGTGTGAAGCATTGTACTGTGTGTGTGTGTGTGTGTGTGTGAAAGAGAGAGAGAGAGAGGGCAGCTTTGTTTGCCCCCTGTTGCCCACTGTAGCAGCTTAGAAACAGAGAAACAAGGCTGTTAGCAACGGGTTAAACATTAGGAGGCTCTCGGGTAGCGGAGGAAGGACACGGGGGTGGGGGGTGTGTGTGTGTGTGTGTGTGTGTGTGTGGGAGTGTTGCAGGGGTGGTGTCTTGGATGTCGTGGCAGCGCTCTCACTTCCAGGGTAATAGTCATTGGTATTGATGGGTGGCTGTCAGAGAGGCCGGGGAGCCACCAGGTTGGGGAGATTGGCCGGGGGCTGGCCCCTGGCTGTTATTTTCAATTACAGGGGACCAGGCCAGAGCTGACAGCAAAGGCATTTGTACATCCAGCAAGTGGAGGGGGGGAGGCTCTGTGTGGGGAGGGAGGGAGGGAGGGAGAGGGGGGGGCGCTAGCCTCTGCTCCTGGGTTTGATGTGGAAACTGAGCACTGACCTCTGTGACTTTACCCCCACGACGCAGAGAGGCCCAACATTGCCTTTAATTGTGTGTGTGTGTGTGTGTGCGTGCGTACGCGCGGGTGCGTGGGTGTGCACGCACGCACGCACGCACACACATGCATGCGCATTTGAGTCGGGGTCTCATGCACAAAAAAAAAAAGGAAAAGGAGTGGGGGTGGTTGGACTTGTGTGAATGTGTGCGTGCAGATGAGACCCCCTGCAGCTCACCGATGTTCAGCGAGTAAGATTAGAGCCCATTTAAACCCTCACTTAAACCCATTTACAACGGGCCCTTCTCCCCGTGCATGAACACGCAGGCTGATATTACCACACACAGTATGAGCAGAGAGTCGTGTGGACAGCGGGAGATATAAAGTAGTGCGATTCTGCGGGGTATCACTGCGATGGGTAAAATGCACTTCAATGTTAGTACATTGGGACGCGGGGGCCGTCGCCTTGTTGTGGTGTCACGGTTTAAATTATATATTGTAGCTGTTGCCAGTGGCGTTCCGTACTTCTACAAACAAATGTTTACCAGTGACTCTTTAAACTGAAAGGAATCTAATGAACCAGCGTTGTCGCTTATTGAATCGGCGGCTGTTCAGCAGAGGAGCTCCTCTCACCGCCGACAGCCCCTCAGTTGTGACGCGCTGTTTGTTAAAAACATAATAAAAGACAATTTTACTGAAATTAACATAAAGGTATGAACTGTTTACATTTTTGGACAAAGGTTTCCTGTCCACTGGTTTGCGCACTGCAGTTGCGGCAAGTAAAATGTCACAACTAACCTTGTTAAAATAAAACACACAGCGGAAGGTTCCAAGTCCAAAACACAGACAACTACAAGACAATGCAGTGGCAGCCACCCGTCAATCAGAAACTAGCCCCGCCCTTAAGCATACCCTGCTTTATGGTTTAAGGGTCTCTAAATGGACCATCATTTACTAAATAAACATCACACTGTCTTGAAGAAGACTTGGAACTAGTGATTGAGACCATAAGCTCATGTTTACAATGTTTACTGAGGGAATAAATCAAGAGATGTAATTTCCTCTTAGACTTTTATACAATCAGACGTCTTTTTACGACCAGAGGAGTCGCCCCCTGATGGCCATTACAGAGAATGCAAGCTTGAGACTCTTCGGACTGTATATAACAGGGGTATCGGCTCCCAAGCTACTTTTCAATAGACCAAGTCATGGCGATGCAAACCCGGGGAGGATGTGAACTTTAGGCAACTGGGTGGTATCGAACCCAGAACTTTCTTGCTGTAAGGCAACAGCGCTAACCACCACGCCACCAGCCGTCTAGTTGCTTTTCTGTCTTTGTTTTTCTGACACGGTGATCGGCGTGACTATCAAGACATCTTAATGCTATAATTCATATTTGGTTTGCGCACAAAGCAGCGAGCAGAGATCCACTGACGGGGTTTTCTATTCCTTGTTGGGGTGCGGCGAGGTTGTTTGTTCGGCGCTCTCTCCACACACACTGCTTCACCTTGAGATGAGGAGATGAGATGATGTTTTTCTCTTTTGTTGTCAACATCTGCTTATTAATGCAGTACATACTGTTGTTATAACAGACAATATGATGTGGTAACTAGTGACAGCAGAAGCATCAAGCCGCTACAATGTCACTCCAATTCCTGTAATGGCTCATGGCCTCCACCTCAGCCCCTGACCAAGCGCTTACGATAGAGATCAGAAAAGCTGGGGAGGAGGGGACTCAATTAAAAAGCCAATCACCCAACAGATAGACTTTATCTGTCTATCATCACCTCTGTGCAAGGCACACTTAATTGCCCCACAGGATTCCTCCCACCCCCACCAAAGGCATCATCTGTCTGCCGCAGATCACGAACGCACAATTTGGACGGAGACGGAGTCTTTCCAGGAGGAAGCACTGTGCCCGAGTACGCTCGGTCCACGAACAGAACAGAACACGGACGCCCAGTGTCTCGTCCGAGGAGATGTGACGTTAGCGCTGTCAACCCTTGGAATTCACCAGCAGACCTCAGTGAGCTAAAGACCCCAAACCAACATACACTTACAATAGACTACCGCGTCAGGGGCATGAACACACAATGACAGACGGACCACACTTGGCGAAAAAAAACGGTCAGTACCAAAAGGTCAAGAGGGTTAAAGTCCCGTAAAGGTTTGCAGGTATGTTTGCTGTTTTCAGTCCTGAATGGCGAGGCGTGTGCCGCCGCTGCATTCGTAGGCCGCGGCCGTTGGCCCGCCTCCCCCGCCGCGGTTATTTCACCATGTCTGAAGATGACAAAATGTTCTCTCCCTCTGCTATCTCTCATGTGGATTCAACCTTCGACCTGCAGTGTCCAGCCCACGTTTGTTTACCAAAATGTCTGCTAAGGTTGTACATGTAGAGAGAGAGAGAGAGAGAGACGCTATCTGTTGAATTAACACTTTGTGGCCCATTGTCCACCAAAGAATAACTGCGGGGGGGGAGAGAGCGGATCTGAGGTTGACAGTCCAAAAAGTGAATACAGACAGAGGGAACTACAAAGTGAGACGGGCTATTTCAGCTTGTCAAACGTCCCTGTGAGTATTTTAAATTTCTACTGCGTTGCTAAACGGAGTTCCTCTCACCCTCTCAGCCCTCTCTAGAGCAACCAAGCTTATTCCTCCATAGAAATAAAAATGGCCAACAATGGAAGACAGGATTTTAGATGAGGTTGCCTGCACATCTGAGCCTTCCAATTGTTCTTTTTTTCCACCATCTCTCCAGTAGCACATTCAGCGCTTACTGGAAGTGACTAATTTCAGCAGAACCCTCCCCTCCCCCAATCAGTGGCCGGGGGGGGGGGGGGGCACACTGATTTTAAGGTTACTCGACAGGTCTGCACGGCGAGGATTGAAAGGTATTTCACTGCTTCTTCCCTTCAGCCGAATACGGCCGGTGGACAGCAGGAAGTAAGAGTGGAAGAGCGCTAAGAAAAGAGCATAGGAGAGTGTTCTAACTCAGCAGCAGAGATGAGTGATTTTCAGAGTTCCAACCTTTTGCAGAATCTTTGGGGATCTGCATCCGTGCCGAAAGGATGCTGCAGCAAACTTTGTTTCCATTTGCGCTGCACGTCAAGTGAATTATGCAAACAACATGTGGAATCCATTTTGGTGGTGGTGGGGGTTTGCCTGTGGCATTCCACAGACTCCTTTTGGTCGTAACTCAACCGAAATGTAGGTCCCGGCTATGGACCATGACTCCTCTCAATTACTGCCGCGACCAGGTATCAGCACAGCGCAGATAACAGTCGAACGCGGCCGGGGGGAAAATGATGGAGGTGAAGGTGTGAGCGCATGAGTAATGGAGGTAAACACAGCTGTTGGCTTTTATTGAGGGAGAGCTGCAATAGGTCAAACCGAGGGGAGACAAACTCTGTGAGCGAGAATAACCGCGTTTGTTTGATGCAAAAAAAAGGTGTGGGAATGTTTTGGTCGGGCTGTGATTGGACGTTGGGTGGCGTTGAATCGGGTCGGCGCATCATGCGCGGTGAAGGACGCGGCAAAACTGTTAAACGCAAAATCACGTGTGTTTGTGTGAGTGCGCATGTGGCTTTGTTTGTATGCAAGAGATGGCGAGTGAGAAAAAAGGCCGCAGGGAGAAAGGCAAAAAAATAAAATAAATAGAAGCGTGTTTATGTGTGTTTAAGGGCCTGAGCTGATATTGTTTCTATGCAACTTGCACACACTGCGGGTGCTGTAGATGAGTCAGTGTGTCAGTGCCTCTGCATGCTTGCATTGTGCATGGTTATTGTAAAAACATCTAGGTCGATCCTTGAGAGTGCATGTTAGTGCACATGTGCCGTGATGCATTCAGTAGACTGGGCCATTGTGAGTGGAATGTACACAGTGCATATGTTGGGGGGGGGGGGGGTTGCTCACAAACA